TTTTTGTTGTATTCACTTCGGTAAAATAGCCTGCATCATTAGTAATTGTATTAATAGATTCATAGATGACTAAAACCGATGCAGCACACATTATAACGGATAAAATTACAATAGCTATTGGTTCAAGACGTGTCCGACCTAAACATATTTTAAAGTTGTATTAAAAATTGGTTTCACCTAATGAAAATCTTGAATGTTTCATGAGAAAAGTAGCTGGCACAGATTTCGGTGTTTTGCCTCCAAAATTTTTCTCAGTCACACTAAAAACTCCAGAAGTAGAAAATCTAAGAATCTGCTGAACCATGAGAAAGTCGTAAGTTGCAGCAATGCTTACATTATTTATTGAGTAAATTTCTTGAATGAGAGGTAAATTCAAGAAATATTTAGTCAACTTTACGTGGATGCCATAGATTTAGCATTACAACCGCGCACGTGAGCGTTGTACGTTTGGATACTCTCGATATGCACAGTATGTGAAAATAACGATATGACTTAGTATACAGTTATAGAGATACATGCTTGCTTGTAATGCTGAGCCATACAAGGAAGCATATCACATTTTTATGTGTCAATTTTTTGAAATTTAGTAATATCTTAAAAATTAACGTCTTATAATTATGATTTAAAATAACTACAAGGTGTGCCGGTTACGTATGTTTTTTATTAGTTGAATCATGTGAATGAATCATTATTTTTGATTGGCAAGTCAAGCATATTCTTGTTGAGTCATGCAATTTTTAAGTACAAATAGTGATGATATATAAGTTTAAAATATCCATGTTTTTGTCTGATTGTATTAGTTCGCGTCTCAGGTATCAACAGAGAGAGAAAATATGTATTGCACCAATGCATCTGTTTTATGTTGGCAGTTCTTGAAACCAAATTGTTACGATTTATGTTTAAGATGATACATGCCGTATTATCGATTTTATTCATCTAGTACCCTTTTAGAAACATCCATATAGCCACAGAGACCTCTCTCTCCTTGTATGTCGTGTCTTACAGTAAAGCGTGAATGAATAGACACTGCATGAACAATACTAATAATATTTAAAACTCAAAGACTATTACGCCTGTACGATAGACACATACTGAAATAATTTATCACACTCGAGCTCTATTATTTTCATACTACCTTGTGGATATTGATATAAATCGCGTTTTTTAATAGCACGCCATGTCCAAAGTAAAATAACTGATGTTGCAAGATCAACAGCAGAGTCAATCACAGAAGAGACAACTGAAAGTGAATGTGAAATAACAGCAGCGACAATTTTTAATATTAATAAAGCCTAGAATAAATGAATTATAAGCATCATATTGATGAAATTAATATGTAAACGTACAATGTTGGCAACAAGTGAAACGTGAGTTAATATCTTGGACATTCTTTGTTCTTTATCTCTTTTTTGTTGGTAGGCATCCTTGTCTGCTTCGTTTTCTGCTCTTGCACCGTCCACACGTTCGAAAACATCAATAAGATCATCTTGATTTTTATAAAATCGCTTCACGCGTCGAGGCAATTCAGAATCTTCAGCACGTTGACCTCGTCGTCCTTCTTGTAAATGTTTCATAGAATAATAATATTCCCGATCGGGTAAAGGCACCGGTTGATTTTCTGTACGAGTATCGTCTGGCACAGATATGATCTCATTCTGTTGATTTATATCAATCGTTGAAAAGGGAAGACTGTTTGGCTCATGATCATATGACTCGTTCGTATGATCCATGTTGCTTTTATTTCTATTCGATCAAACATAAATGAATGGAAGTAGGTAATTCATTTATATATGCTTTAACTGTGCTTGTTTGTTTTTTCATTCTTGCGTTACACTTCAGTAAATCACATATCGAGGTTTTTTATTACTCCACATACGCTGTTTTTTTTCGTATGGCGATAGAACGATTTTTATACAAGATAGAAGAAGATAATTGGCGGTACTTGCAAGTGTAGTTGAAAGAATAAATAAAATATACAGATAAATTTGATATCGAACTTGTGATTCATTTTTGCTTAATAACGAACTCTAAGTTAAAGATTACAGAAAGTAGGCATGATGTAACTTTGTCTTTTCTTGTCGCACCTATCGAACATATTATATGGCTAAACGTATTGATAATGATCATTTATATATTTTTCTGTCTCCTAATTGTCACACGGTAGACACAAATAATAATGAATAATTTAAGAAAATATCAAGGCACCTTGCAAAATATTGTTGATGCTTTAGAATATTCTTGAATTAGAAAAATTGTTTATCAACGAAGTACTAACAAGCTGTAAATTATGTGATCATGATTTATTTCCCCTCCGAGCCAAGCTGTTTTTCTGTTGACTCTAACACACTTTTTCTGGTACAAAAATAAAATAAGAATGAATCACTTTTATTCATCATTACATGTTTTTGCAGTGTCATATATTATGATAGTTTTACGCACCAAATAAAAAATAATCACAATTTGAGTATGATTTTTGTTGATTTATCGATCGATGTCGAGCATAAATTTGCTATTTCGTCCCATCGATTTCGTGTTATATTAGATAATGTAACTGTATTTTCAACAAATGTTAACCAAATTCGTAGAATTCTATAGAACAGAAAAAGATTGAAGGTAAGTAAAATCAGTCAGAATGATGTGATCGAAAATCACCACTTACTTCATGAGCAATGAAGAATATTTTAGATCTATACAACGAATATTATCCAATGAGAAAAGAATACTTGCGTTAAGATGAAAAATAAATAAAAGTGATTGACGAATATTATCATGTCTGAAAAGAAAATCTTCAGTTAAGATTATAATCGATTCAGAGTTAGAAATTTACACGTTAATAAAACGTTCAAAATTACTACGCTGATTTGAGCGTAGTTGTTTAGAATGATAAGCTTGTCCTCGCGTTTTTATAAACGTATCGATATTAATTAATACTTGATGGATGTGTGTACACAATTGACGAATGATTATTATTAATGAAGATTCATTATAGCCAGTTGTTGTTAACTATTTGAGAAATCAAAACATTCACAAGTTAGTTAGAACCAATGGATGATGGAATATACTCAATAAATTTAATGTGGAAAAAACATTTCACTTTTGTTGGAACAAACAAAAGTGAACAAAAGAGCAGAGTATCCTTTCGTCCATGTCAATTCGTGCTTAACTGATACATTTAAAGGGTTCCCTTTCGCTCACAAACAAGAACTGAGCGGCTGTTTCGATCGACTCATAAGTCCTAACATTTTATTTTTTGATTTTTTCTTCTATTCGAAAGATATGATCTAAATACGGAACATACTGTAAAAGACACTGCAATAATCGAATGCTTTGAATAGGAGAGATGAGTCACCATTCGGAATTTTTATTATTAACTGCGCAACTCGAAGATTATTGAATGTAACGCCTTCGATTCGACTAATCGTTATGTAACAAATGGTTTCTTTAATTTAGTTACACTTAAAGCAAAATATTTTACTTCCTATCGCACGCACTAATTGTTAATCTATCAGTTTTACTCCCACAAACAAGAATCTTTACGAAAATTTGTACCACTCAGTTTTCACGCTGAAAAATGATTTACTTTGCAAGTACAATATCGATTGATGAGATTTATATTTTCTTCATTTAATAGCGCGTCAATTGTTGCCAATGATATATTATCAAATAAAGATAGATTATCTGAATAAAAAAAAATGAGTTTTCCAATCAATGGTTAACTAGTAAAAAACATGCTAACCAGGAGGCATAAACGCTCGCCAAAAATTAGTTAATTGAATTGAAAAATCAGGTTTCTCTGTTTCTACTTCGTCGATTGATTTAGGACATTCCAGCATTTGTTTAAACTCAGCAACACACTGGCGCATCTGATAGTAAAATATTTAATATAGAACGATATTAATTTAAAAAGAAAGGAACCACATACTTGATTTCTAGCAATAGCAATTGGATGATAATAAACTTTGTAGTCATTGATATAATCCAGAAGATATTGCCCATATTTATCCAATTTCTTAAAAGAAAAAAAGAGAATAGCTCGATGTGCTAAAAAAAAGCGTCGATTTCTATTTTAATCTACATATTTATCATAACGATAGAGCAATGCAAATAAAAGGCCCAATTGAGCATTGGCAACTGATCGTGGTAGAGATTCATAATCAATTTCACCATGACTTAATTTAGATCGAAGACAAGCACCGTCAGGAAATGTAATTAGATCGCCTAGAAGACTCTATAATATATAATTAAAAAAATGCAATAACATACCATCAAGAAGATTCCTTTATTCAATCCTTACCATATAACCTCGGCCAAGTTCATCACACAGTCGATTCGGTGAGCCATCAGGCAAACAACAAATTAATATCTAAATTTTGATTCGTATGAAAAATCAACAAGGAATGCAATTCATACTTCATCTAACGTCGTATATAATGTTGTTGCCTAAACCAAACAAAATAGATTTTCTATTGCTTATAAATCGACAGACCTCAGCCGTTAATAATCGTTCTGGACAATTATTAGCATTAACAAATAATTTTCGTAGCACGTGCTCGAATACAGGTAATAGAATCATCATACTCAAACCGTATCTAAACGAAAGATTCCAATACGGAATAAGAAGCAAATAGCTTTTATTTACTCATTTCGATTAAAGAAATAATCAATGCTTGACATTAATAATCGCTTGTAGCCATTATCTATTAAATGACTATTTTGAATTAATTCAATCGCTCGATCTGCATTTGGACAACACATATCTGCAAAAAAAATCATTTCGAAAACTTTTTTCAATGAGAACTCTCGTTTATGAGTCATTCTTAGTGGACCAATAGGTCGAATATGTTTCCGCTTTATATTAATCGCATAGCTTCCACTTTGAATTACCTGTAGGAAGAAAAGTATGATTTATGAAACGATCAAGGGAAATAAATTGTCGTTCAGGTATAACTTTTCCATTAAGAATAGATCCTATGCATGACATAAGATACAAAAGAAGATAAGTAAATCTAATTAAGCAGAAACAGTAAACGAATATATTTTAATTTGAAACGGTCAGTATTAATTCACTTCGGTGAGATTTCATTATATTGAATAAAACCATGCCAATAGACATTACGTAAATTAATCGATTTCGGACTACCAATTAGTAATTGAAAGAGTAGCGTCTGTGCAGGAAAAGTTCGATTGTAAAATAGTTTATTTTCATGATACTTACTAAATCTGAACCAAGAATAGAACAAAGATTTGGCGATTCAACTATTTGTCTTAGGAGATTTGGTACAGTATTGATTTGTAGTAAAAGCAACTAATTCAATAAAACATAAATTATTCTTTCCGAAAGTCAATATTTTCTTCTTACATTGCCGAGATTTCGTTCGGTAAAACAAGTTAAAAGAAGTGTAGCTAAATGAATTTCATCGCTTTTTAAAAAATTAAATATTCGAAATAAATCCTAGGAAATAATAATTTCATTGAAAGCTTTTCAATCAGCAGTTTCCTCAGTTTACTTTTCTATTTTTCAACCATCCACAATAATGATCATTGTCATAAGTCGATCGGAATTCTTCAATAGTCATACGGTTAAACATTTGTTCGATTTGAGGCAATATTTTCACATCCAATCGACGAACGGACTCTAGATAATCAATACCCGTATCTACAGAAAAGAGGAATATAAGTAGATGACATTAAACATCGCTGTTCGTATGTGATTTATTGATCAATTTAATCGTTTACCTCCGACACTCAAACATTGCCGAATTTTATCGATCGATAATTGATCGTTTTCACTCTTTTCAGAAGTTGCGACTGCTGATGCGCTTAACAATAATTCTCGAACGCCAGGCGATAAATATGTGCAACTAGTCATATCTAAAATGAATATAATCAAAAATTATTTTCTTTCGATAAAATACATCTAGCAAAACACGCATTCGACATACAGCGTTTGAGTTCCAAATTTGAGTCACAAGAGGGCAGCGCTAATAAGCCTTTTAAAGAATTTCTTACTGACAAGAGGTCATCTAGGTGAGATTTAAACAGCAAAAATTGTTTAAATCTTGAATGTAATTCAGATCTGACGGTTACAAATTATAAAGAAGCAATGAGTACCAATGAGACTGACATAACAGGGAAAAAAGATGCAAAATATTTTCTGAACAAAATGAGAACATCTGAAATAAAAATTTTATTTTATAACGAAAGTCGTTTACAATAAAAAATATGCAATATTTTATTCTGATAAATTTTCAAAGCTTTGATACCATTTACCAAATCGTGGAATAATTGATTTCCATTGTTTAAAATTTTGTTCTGCTATGTCACATTGAACTGGTTGAAATGTTTTTTCTACAGTAATAATTTTTTCAAATTGTTCATAATCATCAATTAATCCACAGCCATATGCAGCTAGAAATGCCGCTCCAATACCCGATGCATAATCAAATGCATAGCAACGTTGAATAGACAGTTTTGTCAAGTTAGCTATTGTTTGGCAAATAAAATCACATTTTGATACTCCGCCAGCTAAACGTAAAAACCGAAAATTCTCTTCGCCTTGATATTTATCAAAATCATGCTTTAGAAATACAAACAATTCATAGGCAATAAATGCAATGGATTCAAGTATCGATCGAAGTAAATCATCACGCGTCGTTTGACCATCAATACCAATGAAACCAGATCCACAATAGGGATCATTAATATGACCATCGAATGCCGGAAGAAAGAATACATGAGCAATTTTAGTGTCTGTTGATAGTTGATTTATTTCTGAAAAATCATTAAAAAAGCCAGCTTGTCGAGCCCAATTAAGAATATTTGCACAACTACTATGGTATGCATGAAGAAAATGAACATTTTCCAATGGGTTTGAAAGATCCGAATAGGCAACGAGAGGATAAATACCATCAGTGCAAGCACTAACTCGGCCGGTTAAAATATTAACAAAAGCACCAGTACCTAATGTAATTATGGATTCACCAAGATGACAAACACATTGACCAAACATACTTGCTTGTACATCACCAATAACAGCCGTTATTGGAATAGCACGACCTAGTTTTACAGATAAAAAAAAAAGTTAAACGTTCAATAGTCTAAATGTTTATCAATGCATTATTCAACTAATAGAATACATAAAAACCGCTTTATCGTTCCTTCTGTCTCTCACATTAGACATGTTTCTTCACTACAACTATAGCTCAGATCTACTTCACTGTAATTTGGAGTACGGAAGTCTCGCTTTCTTTCTCTTGGCAGCACCATAATATTTCCGATCTCAGGATCGAAAGCGAGACCGGTTTTTCCAAATCTCTACTAGTATACAATGAATGTATCGTTCATGTCCTAGTAAAAAATATTTTGATTAGAAAACTCAAAATCGTCTTCAATGAAAATACTTTAGACTTACCGAAGATTGCTGGATCACATTTTCCAAATTGTCCATAAGTTGGTTTAATTGTTGGTAATAATTTCATTTGAATGCCTAAATTTTTACAAAGCAACGCGGACCATTCCGATTGAAATGGATCGTAAAGTCCAGTTGAACTTGCACATGATACATCGGTTAGATGTTCTTGCCCACCAGTCAACTTCCATATAATCCATGTTTCAATGCAACCAAATAACAAGCGATTTTGACGTGCATATTTCGCTAAATGAGGTTTTCTTTCAAACAACCACAATAATTTAAATGCGATCATTTGCGTGCGAAATTCAAGATTAGACAATGTTGATAAACGAGCTGTTTGGATAAATGGATAAATTAGTTTCGATACATGACGTATAGTTTTCCATGTGAACGATGAATTTGTCGCCATAGTTTGCAGAGTTGATCTTGTGTCATTCCACAAAATAATATTGGAATATGTTTCGCCCGTTTTGCGATCCCATAATATGACTGAATTTCTTAACGTCGATATGCCTAAACACGCTATATCATCAACTGTCAATGGACGTGCAGATTCAATCGTGTTGTGTATAACAAAGAGAAGCGTTGACCAGAATTCCGCAGGGTCAAGTTCAAAAGCATGTGCTTCAGGACAATGAATTGTTTGTTGTCGTTGACTCGAGCAAATGATTTCGAATGCTTTCGAAAATAAATAAGCACGTATTGATGATGTACCAATATCAACAGAAAGAATGTATGCAACTTTGGTTGATGGTAGCGTACAAGCTTGCTCATGATCTTCAGTATTACTCGTTAAACGTATTAAATTACCAAGTTTAGATTTGATAGACATTTATTGTAAGCACTATTCCGCGGAGCAATAAGTAGATGTGACTGCTACTACGGACATGCGTATTAATAGTAGAAGAAAAGTAAAAGTAATGTACGTCATACAATTATAATGGGACAAAAATAGCTCACGCCTTCGCTACCGTTTTTTTTTCTTCATTTTCTTGTTCATCCTTCATGATTTTGTGCAAAAAAAGAGGATAATTGACGTCTAATTTCCTTCCTCATTAGACTAACAGTTTTCATATAATGCAGAATTGCAATGCAAAATATCAGCATATGCCAAGAAAAATATTTGAATGCATATTGGATAAAAAAAAAGAAAGAGGAATTTTTTTCAGCAAACCCTGAAAATTATTTACTAATAATTTAGACCATTTTCGAGAGATCTGTTCATAGGAACTATGGTATCCGTCAACATTAGTTAAATATCGAGAGAACCGACTCAATTAGACAGTCATGGATTTCGGATCAGACAGTTTGTTCTTGTGATTTCGTTTATTAGACAAGAATATTTTTGATAATTACCTGAACGCCGTGCAACATCACGGTATCTGATCTCGATTACGGATATCCCCTCCGGGTCAATGTGTAAAAAAAAATGCGTTTAAAGGAAATTCAAAAAGCAAACTATTTCCTATATAAACTACTCGAAAAACTTCTTATTTCAAGTTGTATTTACAAAACTAGCCAAGGAGTAAAACGAATTGCCATGGTTGATCTATATACATTACTTGAAGATTTCAAAAAGAATTTGCGCAAGTCAATACCTTATTCTTCTCCTTCATCCATGTAGAGCTTAAATCAATAGTTACAATAAGAAGATTTAATTTAATCTATCTATCGATTGCCTAGTCGAACCATATCTGAATCGTTGTCTATATTAAAATTGATTCCAAAATCACAATTATAATGATAAGCTCTATAATGAAAATAAACGAAAGTTTAAAACGTTTGTTCTTCCCGTAAACCTTCAACACCACATTCCACAAAAGCAATTGATTTTATATGATTATCTTGTAGTAAATCTAAAATCTGATCTTTTGTAAAACAAGATGTTAATGCAATCAGACAACCGCCACCGCCTGCACCAGTAATTTTTGCTGATATATTTTTCTTAGCTAATATTTCAATAATATTATCAATTTCTAATGTTGACACACCTAAACATTTCAATAATTGTTGATTCTCTTGAAATAATTGATCTATTTGCTCAGAATGTTCAATCATTGAATCCACACATCGTTCAACATCATTTAAAATTCTTTCACCTTCTTGTTGATTGCTTTCAACAAATAAACGTACTAATTCAACCATTCTTTTCGTTGATTTCGGTATACCAGTATCAATAATAGCTAAATTTGATAAACGAAAATTAATATGTTTTTTCACTGCTCGACTATAAACGAGTGATTGGCCATAGGTACTTATTGTATTATCAATGCCAGATGGTGTTCCATGAAAAATACATTCAACTTTATAGGATAATTCATTAATATCTTCTCGATTCAATGTTTTATGATAAAGAAGATAGAAACAACCAACAAGACAAACGCTAAACGCTGCGCTTGAACCGAGACCAGCGCCGATGGGAATTTCCGAATGTACTTGTATATTCAATTGACTTCGATCGGAGACGAAAGACTTGAAATGATTGTAGACAAACAGTATGCCTTGAATTTCAATTGGATATGAATTCTGTATGTTTGATAAATCAATTAGATGTTGTTGATTGGTATCCTGAAATGATACTTTTAATACCGGACTAGTAGGTTCATTAGTTTGCTCTTCTGCTGTTAGTTGCATGTATAAACGCATACCAATACTAGTAACCAAAGCTCGACGACCATAAACGACAGCATGTTCACCACCAATAATTAGTTTACCTGGTGACGAAACAATGACGTTTCTTTTCATCTTCAATAATGTTATTTAAATAGCTTCGTCGAAATTTCACGATTATAGAGATAAACAAAGAAATAGCTCTAGACGGACTTCTTTTTTTGTATTCTTGACCCATGATTTTTCTATAGCGCATGAGCAAGAAGTCTCAATCAGGGAATGATTTAGATTAAATATTTCTGTCAACAAAATGTCAAAACTGTCAACTTCCTTAACTGTATATGAATTGAGAGTTTTCTGACAATCTTCCGAATGATGAATATCAGTGTTAGAATTCAGATTTGACCCCAGAATCTATAAGTAAGAAAACTGAACCTTTACATATTATACTTTAACTCATAGGAAAACGAACAAAAATTTTCATAGTAAGTTTACCGATGAATCGAATAAAATTAGATTAATATTTACAATGAAACTAAAGAACAGATCATTTTACCTTTAATTATACTTTTCAAGATATTTTTAACATAAAAACTACAAAAAAGAAGAAAAGATAAATAAATATTTTTTGAATTATTTTCAGTTTGACTTTTTCATACGAGAAAATGCTCAATTTTACAAAAGAAAACAACAAACGAGTTTGGTCAGCTTGCAATATTCAAATGAAATATTTTTTTTTATGGTTTTTCTTTAACGTTTACGAAATCGATATTTGTCCGAATAGTAAAGTACTTGAAAAAGTATTGCAATATCAATACTAATTTGTAACATTCCACAAAGCCAAAATTGTGTCGGTGCAATCCTCAGAATAAAATAAACTGTTTTAAATATATCACCCGATGTCCACATGAGAACCTTCAATACAAAAAAAGAACAAGATTAAATTCGAATTTTTTGAATTTCTCGAAAAATCTATTCACCATTGTTACACTCATGCCTTCTGTTGATTTCAGTCGAAAATTCCGCATAAATTGTGGTGTACCCAATAAAGCTTCGAAAAATACAGCTAGAAATCCGATTGTTTCTATATAGAGGGTATTCGTAAGGAAGAGCCACGTTATTACACCTTAAATATTCCAGAAAAACAAAATTCATTTTTAACACCTGAAAGAAACTATGATCTTACTTAAAACCGAAGAAAATGCAAATAAAAATTGAAGATAACTTGTAAACCTACATGAATTAAAATAAATATAGATCTTTTTTTATATTCATTTATCGTACGCTGTCCATTTCCAAAAATAATCCATTTGAAAATCAGTAAATTTTTTCTCGTGAATATCTAAGGTCAGATCTTTTGTACTCGATATATTTTGTTGATTCAAAGGTAAATGATGGCATAAAGATTTTGAGTAAACACGTACACATAGTTCAAGCATTACAAGCATACATAAAATCATTATGATAGATTGAACAAGTAGTGGAGTTTCAAAATGTTTACCAAACCAAAATTCAACACGTAAAATATTAGCAATAAGCAATGTAAGACATACATAATTCGAAAAGCCTTCAGCATTTTGAGAACTTTTTATTATTAAATATTGAGGAATGTATGGCACAACACCACCGAACTAAAAAATAAAAAGTAAAATTCATTATCAATAGCCTGGCATAATTGGGATTGCGTTGATTTATGAGATATGATACTCAAACGGCTTTAGACTAGGGGTGGACCATTTTTTTTAACGGAACTTAATTAATGACATTAATTAATGACTTCCATTAGCCATTAATATTAATGTTAATGTTTTCATGAAAACATTAATTTTTCCATATTACTGAATTAGGCTTTTCTAAGGAAACATTATCTACAATTATTAATCAATTAACTGATCTTAATAGCTAATGTTTTCTCCGAAAGTGTTAATTACTTAATATGGAAAGTTATAATGCTTTCATGAAAACATTAACCATTAATATTAAGTCATTGATTTTAATGAAAACATTAATATTAATGAATTAAGTTTTTCTTAGAAAACATTAAGCATTAATATTAATGGTTAATGAGAAACATTAACATTAATATAAAATTAATGTTAATGGTCCACCCCTAACTTTAGACGGGTAATAGAAAATTGAGCTATCCATCGACAAAACAAAAATTTGACAGTATTCCGTAACCGTATGAAATGATTAAAAACTCTATTCAGATCAAATCTAAAATAAAATCTTGTAGACACTTAATTTCTTTTCGTAGGTAGAACTCTTTCAAAATAGCAGATTTCCAACTAAAAATCTGCCGATTCGATAGATTCTCATACATATCCAATAAGAATAGTCTATCACAAGTCAATAAACCTCAATGTCAATATCGTCAATGAGAAAAGCAATAAAACGATCGATTTGTTTTCATAAAAATTACTCTATGGTTTATTTGAAATACTTACAATCATAAGAGCTTGAGAAATAACTCGAACAGCTGCTGCAAAGATTGAGTTTATTTCAGCCATTGGTAATGACTGAATACTAAATAAAAATGATAAATTCTTTTTTGTTGGATTGCCAATGAATAATTATTTGTCTTTGGTAATTATCTAATTCTTTGCTCATTGTTCATTAAATTCAATCAGAGAAATATTACGTCACCGATCAAACACAACAGATAAACAATAATGACAAAGATGAATAGCGAACAATAACGAATAACTACTAAATAAGCACGAAAGACATATATTTTTTGTAGGCACAAGAAAATTATCTTTCTTTTTAAAAGGCTCTCTCTTTCTCGTAAATATATAGGATTAAATATATCGCATGGATACTTACAATTTTTCCATTTTTCTAAAGATACACTTCTTTTAATGGATATTTCAAGAAAAAAATTTAGTCACGGTCATCATAGCGTTTAACTGAAGTTTTACCTTGGTCTATTGATAGAATTAAGTATAAATCTAAAAAGATAGAAAGTTTGCCGAAAATAATTTCATATAAATATGTTTCTTTTAGAAAATCTAACATTGAAATCTATGAAGAGTTACTATCAATTATTTAGAAATCATTTCATTTTATTTCCAGTGGCAAAAGAAAGAATTTCCTTTCGCTAATAAAGTCGACTAGAAAACAAAAATATTTAGATTTCAAATCAAATATGGCTTGTTGAAAGAAGTGAGCCATATAACTCACGGTAACCTCGTATGAAAACTATAAGCCAATCAAATAACGAGTCCTTAATTTACCATCATCCAATTCATTAGGTGTATTTTTAGTCAATGAAAAAGAATATTTACAACTACATTCTACTTGTATAATCTTCTTTTGAGCACAAAATTTGTAACTTGGAGTAAACCAAAGAGTACATCCAATAAACCTGACGGGATAGAGGGTTAAAATATGATACACATCAGCACACTATTACTCCATCTTTCGCCGACTCAATCATACGAGAAAGTCCTAGGTCATCCTACAGCAAAATGTTTCGCTCTAAATATCAATCCTAGTCGCTCTATTCTATCTAGTTCACTGATGATCACTTGCCAAACTAGTTTTGTAACTTGAACGCTCGTTATGGACGTACCTGTTGAGAGTATCCAATAGACACATTTTTATTTTGCAGCAGCCAAGTAAACTAATATCCAATCGCGCATCGTTTTTCGTAAGATTTTATCTCACTCTAAAAGTAGTAGGTAACTGGATAATAATCAAGATGACGTTTGTGTTGAAAGATTCGTGTTTGAATTTAGTAAATATACTTTTCAATGCAATTTTTAGAAAACTAGCAGAAAAAACTCTTTAGCACATGTCTTACAGTAGAGTATTCTGTATCATTTTTGGTTTTGCTAACACAAAAAACAATAGTCGCTGGCAAAAGAATACGAAAGTTTTAAGGTAAAAGCGTCGAGTTTATTCGACCTTACTTTATTTTTGTAACTGTGAGATATTCAAGGTGGTAGGCCTTGAGGTACTCTATCATATTGCATTGATTTTATTGCTACGCCATAAAATGTGATTCAAGGATATTTTAGTAGAATCGATCTTATGTCAAAAGGTACTATATCATTAATTGAGATATGACCAAAGAACCGTTAAGTAGACATTTTCAATATATGATGATAAATGAAAATAATATGGAAAAAAAATATTAAGTGATATTTTTATTTGTTAATATATTCGATTAATTATAGTTGAAAGAATAGATCAGGCCTTATTTTTGTTTCTATTGATCGATTGTATGTTCATCGATAATCGATCATTATTAAACCATTAACTTCAAAAAAAATGTGCGCTAAAACCTTCACTATATCATGTGAAGAATCAACTGGGTCATATATTTTATTAGGTCTCATATCTAATTAAAACATACTTATTAGAGAATTGTAGGCAATCGCTCTGCTGTAAACCTTTCCGTTGGCTCCATCTAATATTTAAATGAACTTACTTCTATATGACAGTCTAGGTCAGATTTTTAAATTATCTTGCATTCAATTCTCGATTTTCTAAGATAACGAATAATCACGAATACTATAACTTATATATCTACTCAACACCTAAGTTAAACTATTTATGAATGCTTTTTGATCTCACTCAATCCTAAGTAGTTGCTAATTAATTCAAAATCAGCTATGTTATTATCGAAATTTAGTTCGTATTTGTCAGCGTGCTCAATTCATTGATCTCCATCCTTATCGATCAAGCATTTTTCTACTCTTTCGTTACTGAAGAAAAATAAAAATAAAAATAAGAATACTAATTACTTAAATTTTCACAAAACATATTTGTCAACAGTTCGTGAAAAATCACTCATCGTTTATTGTAGGATCTTTTTACGAAGTCAACGTACCTTCAAACTAAGACTACAGACAATAGATTTAGTTTTTGTGTGCATCCACATACACAGAATTTCTCTCCTGTGATGGCTACATGTCCAGGGTGTGTGTGGGTATGGTTGTGAATGTAGTCTAGATGAACAGCAGAATCACACCCACACCTTAAATAACGACGGTCTATTCGATATTGTTGCTGCTAATTCTGACACCAATCATGTCGGCGTATTTCTTGCAGATAAAAATGGCACTTACATCGAGCACGTAACATTTTCAACTGGAACGGATTCAAGTCCTATGTCAGTCACTTTAGCTGATTTCAATAATGACCGTGTACTCGATATCACTGTTGCCAACAATAATATTGATAGTATTGATATATTTCTGGGATATGGTAATGGAAGTTTTGCACCAGTATTGATGTGGAGATGGCGCATTTCCGATCATGATTGTAATCAGTGACTTGAACGATGACAATGTGCTAGATATTGCTGTTGCCAGCATTGGCTTTGATGTTGTGGGTGTCTTTTTCGGATACGTAGATGTAAGCGTTATAGAACAGACAGCATATTCGACTAGAACTGGCTCTGATCTGATCGCAGTCGCAATTGAAGATTTTAATACGGATAATAAATTGGATATTGTAGTAGTCGATTTTCTAGATGGGAACATTGTGGTACTTCTTCAAAATGGTAGTCGACCTTTTCAAAGTATGTCTATGTGCTCGACTGGTGAATATTCTACTCTACTATATCTGACAATTGCCGACTTAAACAACGATAATCACTTGGATATTATCGTTATCAACTGCGGTTATGATAATATAGGTGTATACTACTTGGACATGGTGATGGAATTGTAATGAAACAAATAATATATGCAATTGACAACGGTTCCAAATCGTACTCAGTTGCCGTTGGAGACTTTAACAATGATACTATATTAGATATCGCTGTTGCAAACTTTGTTTCGAATGATGTTAGGATACTTCTTGGATATGCCAATGGAAATTTTTCTATTCGAGCTTCATATTCAACTGGAGATTTATCAGGTCCGCCCTCTATAGCTATTGCTGATTTCAATCGAGATTGTTTTCTTGGCATTGCTGTTGCTAATTGGAACTCTAAAGATGTAGTTTTATTATATGGAAAGGGTGATAGTACTTTTGAAAAGCCATATTCGTATTTGATGGGCTACGGTTCTGTAATATCTACGGTAGCTATTGATGATTTTAATAGAGACAACTGGACTGATATTTCGGTGGCTAATTATGGCACTAGTCATACTGGAATTCGTTTGCAGACATGCGATAATATCTAAATTTTACTATATTTTTATTTTTCCCCAATACTTGCACTTCACATAAAACGTTTTGTTGTTTTAGATAGATTATAAGATTCACTGTATATTGTTGATTTTATCCTCTGTAGGAAAAAATCTAACGTGACGAATTAGTCGTATCTGAAATTGCTCCTATAGCAAATCGCTGTCGACGTAGATGAATAATGTGTTGATTCAAATGGCTACATGGTTTTTTGACTTTTCTTTATACAAATTTGACTTTGTATACTTTAAAGTATTGTTTAGACTGCAAGCAGAATCTAGCGCCTACTTGTATTCGTTACATGTTTTGTCGAAAGACACAATAGATATCGGCTCTTGATGAAGAGACTGTAATCAATAGAATCGACAAATTCATTCAATCTGTGTTGATTGTCTGTGCTGTTAATAATGAACGACCTGATAGTGCGGTCATTATTTGAGTAGAAAATATTTTTGTAGTTTAAGAAAAATAAACGCATTAAGTTTTGCTACTCAATGTTAGTCTTATTTTGACAGCCGTTATTATGACGCGTACTTTCGAAGGTTTACTCATGCACTGTTAAAAGCATAAAAGTAGAATAATAAACCCTGAAGAGTTTTTTTTAAACGTAATAAACCCGTCAAAGACGTGTGAAATTTTTCACAGAAGGTAAAAAGGATTCATTAAATGTTGCACTTTCCCAAAACCCGTAAGGATTTATTTTTCTAGTCGTATTGTTTTTTGTTACAGTGAATAGGTCTCTTCGACTACTTCTGTTGACGATCAAGTAACTGAAAAATAACACAAATTGATCGTTGGACGGTCTTTTTTCCTTGTTTACAGGGTAACATTTCGAATTTCTGGTGTTTTTCAAATGCAATATTTTGATTTTTTGTGATAATTTCAACACAAGTAGTAGTTTTCATTCGTTAACTGTTGTGGTAAAATTTGAAATGGCATATAATCTGTTAGATATTATTATGTGACTTGATAGATTTTGAGCAATTGTACGAAAATGTGAATTCCAACAGAAATTCTAATTTTAGTTTCAATTCTGAAGTTTGAGCTATCTAGCATTAATAGTTACCTTCCTCTATGTAAAAATGTGCCAGTAATGACGAGTATGACTTTCGCGGTTCGATATTCTTATTCATCTTCTTTCACTTCTGTATTCATCTATTCACATTAAGAAAATAAAAAACAAAGAATGGTAGCAATATGCTTGCTAATAAATTATTAAACCTTCTCGACAACGGTCTTTTCGCTAAATACTCGATGCAGAGCATCTCATGACTAACTTGATATAAAATTTTCAATAGACTCGTAGAATAAGCATGCAGATGACACCAATATTTATCTGACGCTGCCGTTCTCGAGTCAGATTATTTTCTATTTGGATAAAATATCGGAACACTTATCAAATGAACTTGGTTTCTTGTTGACGCAATCATTCTCAATCTAATGTTGTTGTTAGCAGGAAAAAGAATTTTCTTGTTAGGATATTATACAATATATTTGGAATCATTTAATATTACATCTAGATGAAACAAAAAACTAAGAGTTTCTGAATAGTTCTATGCATTGAAATAGTGGTATACTTAATAGGCTTGTATTTATGTGAGCGATAAAAATATTGGAATTAACAATAAGATAAATATTATTTAGCAGTAACTATCGAGCAATTAGAAAACTTCATTTGAACAATTTTATAATATTAAATGAGCAATAAATAGCTTATTATACAGCAATATTAATTTCATATTTGAACAACAAAAACGAGAAAAACTACATTGTTTTTATTTACAATTCACAAGAAAAAAAGAAAAATGAAACATATATACCCAGGTCGAACATTCCGGCCACCGGATCCCGTAGGATACTCCAGGAATAATGCAGGAAAGTCACCATATTTTGCATGGAAACACGGGAAATCGTTGGAACATGGAAGTAGTATTTCGATCAAAAATACGGCCGGACTTTTCCGGCGGATTCCTGCCAAATTCCGGTGCTTTCCGGCAGGAATTGATCCGAAAAATTTCCAACCCGAATACTGCTTCCACAAAATCAACGGAACTACCCGAAACTGGCCGTTTCCAGGCCGGACTATTCGATCTGGGTAAGTGATTATTGTACCCATAAAGCTTTTTTTGCTTTCCATGGTTTGCCTCTTTTTCTTTTTGTACCAATTTCCATATTTTTTGCGTCAGCTGGAGGTTTGCAATATTTTTATCTAATAAACATACCAATAATATCCTTGCATGTATAATTTTTCATGAATGATGAACAGCTGCAGATTGCTTCTTTCCATTTTTCAGCATTGCTAGAAAAACATGCGCAACATATATTAAAGTAGGCCGACTTGTAGGTGTGAAACGAGTTAAATCTACAAGTTTCATATCGTTTTATTTCTTTATCTGATCTTGTAACTTTTTCACCAGCAGACAAATAATATATTGTTGCATCACCATTCAACATAGATATAACGTCTTTGTTCAGCTTAATCCAATTGTATGCATCAGTCCAATATGATAATGTTATTGATACTTGATGTTCGAAGAGTTTTGAATTGATATGAGTAGGATTTCGTTCTGTGGACCATTTATTGACTATAGAAAATAAGACAACTTTTTATTTTTTTAACGGCTTCAGTGTTGCTAAAACGTTGAGTTTGCATATCAATGTCATTTTCAGAATCAGAATTATAGTGTGCTACGTGTTGCGACTGAATCATTGGTATAAATTACATATAGTATTTCATGAAGGTGAAAAAATACTTATTGTTGCAAATAAACGAATTATTATGGTCATTTTTATATAAATTTTATGCTTTATTTAAATTAATTATTGCTCATTCAATATATTTATTCCTAAATTTGGTTATTGCTATTTTCAACTATTTTATCGCTCATTCCAATATTTCTATTGCTCAATTAATTATAAGTCTACTTAATATACTCTAATAAAAAGATTAACTTGACGGATAAAAGAGATGTGCGTCGTAATTTTGAGTAGAATCTTTAATTTGACGTCTGTTCTGTCGTTTTACAGGCTGAAATGAATGTGAGACAGCGAGTTTACTGCAATGCAAAGACTGACAACATATAAAATAATCCATGGCTGAAAGTTATTGTGCGCAAAACAAATGTTGCTGCCGTGAACAGAAAAAAAACAATATTCTTCGAGTATCATTTCCAGAAAGAAAAACAGAAAAGCAAAAAAAAATAGCCCAATCAAAAAAAAAAAGGTTTCGGCATCCTTATTTTTATTTTAAATTTGAATATAGAAATGGAATAAAAGTATGTTTTACATAAGTTGGAAAATAAAAGCAGAAAAGGAGTAATAAATATTCATTTCATTGTTCGATAAGAAAAAATATTTTGATACTTATTTTTCATATCTACCACCCTTATAGTACACTCCAACAGATCTAAAGATTCCTTGTATGAGATTGTTGGCGACATTTGTGTATTGAATTTGTGCCATTTGAGCAGCTTTATCAAGTGCGGTAGCTGCAGTCACGCCAGCGAAATACTGAGTGCAATTCGATGTAAGAAGTGGTGTATTGGCGGCATTATTGTAATACGCCAGTTCTTGCGCGCGCTGTTGTAAAGCAGCTGTAAATGAGCCATTGCTGGTCAATTGTGTAATGAGTGCTTGCATTTGGGTCACCAGTGATTGGGCAACAGTTGCGTTGGCGCATGCTTTTGATGCAAGCGTGCCTGAGCTACCACCATAACGTTCACCGCTATGTCCTCCTCCTCCGCCGCCGAATTTTTCCGGTGGACCTCCATGACGACCAGCTGAGACTAATCCCAAGCATACCTAAAGTAAAAAATTGTTGACGATTATACTTCCATGACGCAGCACATAAAACTTACGAGAACGACGACAATGACGAACTTATTCATATTGCTACAGTTGGAAATTTGTGTGTGTTAAAAAAGTTGCATTCACGCTTTATTTATACTGTCGTCGTCTAGTTGAGAGATGAAGAACAGAAAGAGTAAAGAAAAAGAATGTACTTTCTTAGTTCGTTGCGCTTTCCTCGACGTATAGAAAAGGTGAAATCATCGTACTCTAGCTATATTAATCATCGACTTTCTTTTCTCTCTTGTTTTGATGTCAGATGTCGCGTAAAAGTACATAAATTTAATGCCAATCTATCATATTTTTCAATAAAAAAAATTCTTGATTATGTTTATTTAAAGACGCAAATTAAGTAAGAAAGAAAGAAAGAAAGAAAGAAAATACATCAATTTCGAGTGTATATCATGACTGACAGTCCACATTATAATTATATAGTTTCGTATAGTTGAAAAAGAGCCCTATAAAATATTACAAAGTCCATCAACGGTGATCGTTTCTCTGTATGATAATTCAATCAAATAAATAGGCGGTAGTTTTAATCATATTCTTTCTTCTAAATTACTAATTCACTAGTCGTGCGTAAAAATAAAAACCGTCCAATAGATGGTAGCTAAAGAGTGTTTCGTTTTGAAGTATGTAAACGAATAGTCATCGCTCGCATCATTGAGTAGGATGAATAAAAAAAGTTTGTCAGGAAGCAAATTTTTCTTATCAAACAGCATACAAGTTAGTAATAATTCTTTTTCATACAATGAAGCATACGTGAAAATTTTGAAGAAGCCAAAGAGAACCTTGTGAACAATCAATTTTTTACACAGTAAGAAATCGACTTGCCCCAGATTGAACAGTGCGGCCTGGAAACGGCCGGTTCCGAGTGGTTCCGTTGATTTTGTGGAAGCAGTATTCGGGTTCGAAATTTTCCCGGTGATTTCTGATCAATTCCTGCCGGAAAAGTCCGCCCGTATTTTTGATCGAAATACTGCCTCCATGTTCCAACGATTTCCCGTGTTTCCATGCAGAATATGGCGACTTTCCGCATATTTTCTTGAGTATTCTACGGGATCCGGTGGCCGGAATGTTCGACCTGGGTGCAAAAAATTCTTTTCTTCAGATTATTTTCACTGATATAATCGTTTTTGTCAATCAGAATATTTACAAATAACTACAGCAGAAGTCATGATTATGATATGAAAAAAGAAAAATTGAAAGAACAAAGTATGACGTGAGGGGACAAGTAGGATTATCTGCCTATGATATGTTTCTTCCTCGTTTCGTCATTCTAATTAATAGTCTATTTAAAGAAAGCAATTTTTTAGAAGACATATGATATTAAACATTTTAACAAAAAACGAGTCAAGAGAAACTTTAAATTTTACAACATTATAATACGTTTTCAGAAATAACAAGATACCAGTTTTGCTTGATGCAATTTTCATGTGTTTATCGATCTGATAACACAATAGGTTAAAACGATTAATGGACGTTCGTAAAACTACCGGGAACTATTCTCAAGTGTTTACAGAGTGAATTTGCGATTAAATTTCATTCCTATGACGAGAACAACACAGTGAATCAACTCTCTATTGAATCTATTGTCTTCGAACGTGACGCTCAATAAATCTTTATTATTACTAAAGCAATTTTTTGATACATAGGGATCACCAGATACTTGTTAGACATTCTCTCAAAGTACTGATTAAAAAAACTTATTTTATTCGATTCACTGAATTTTCCTTTTCATGCATATGAATTTAGCAGGAAGTTTATCATACATGCAGAATTTCTACGAAAAGTATCTTATCAGATTATATTTTTAAACAACTATTTCCCAAGTTTCGTTTCCTTTTTATTATTAAATTAAATTTTACATGAAATAAGTTCTCGACTCTCTACCGTCACTGTCTAATATGAGAAAGATGTACACACACATATATATATATGCGTATCTTCTTTTTTTTAAGTATTCTATTGATTCTATTCCTACAAGCAAGACGATGTTGCTAGACAGTGTACTTTTTGGAGTTTTATTTTTTCGTTCGTTTTATTTATCAATAATCTACAGTCTATTTACTCCAAGTTTATTTTACTTAATCTAAAAAATTTTATTTTTAATGGAATCTTATGCCAAATTAATTAATCTTTCTAAAGAGAAATTACGAATGCTAATGCGATTTAAATAACTTCTTACATGCCACTCATGACGTTGATATACATACGCAATACAGATTTATATGCATATGACGTTTTTCATATTAGATCTCAAATGCATCAATGAAAAAAATAAGCAAATATCAATTCAAGAGTACACTATGATCAAATATGACTAGTTAAATGTAGTCCAAGAATGGGTGTCAAAAGAGAAGTAGAACGATTCAAACAAGTCAGTACCGCCTTGATTTATGAGATCTATAATTTGACTGGTTTTATCTGTTGACCTTGTTTGAGAAATATCTTTTTTTACTTTCAAGAAGAAATCTATTCGTAGTTAAGAGTGAAGGTGCATTCTAGATGAATTAGTCGATCCTTATACAATACGTTATCATTATCCAATCCCAATGTGATCTCCTAACATTTATAATTTTGGCATAATCGAACTGAGAACATGAAGAAAAACTTTCAATAAACTCGATAATACTAGGGGTGGACCATTTTTTTTAACGGAACTTAATTGATGACATTCATTAATGACTTCCATTAGCCATTAATCTTAATGCTTAATGTTTTCTAAGAAAAACTTAATTCATTAATATTAATGATTAATGAAAAACATTAACATTAATTTTAAAATTAATTTTTTCATTAATCATTAATATTAATGTCAATGTTCTCAAATGATATTAACGGTTAAAGGAAACATTCACCATTAGTATGAATAGTAATGTTTTCGTTAATATTAGGGATTATATTTTCATTAATCATTAATATTAATGTTAATGTTTTCAT